CTTTTTTACTGCACTGCTAAATTAGTGCGATAAGTTAGAGTGAGAGACAAAATATAATTATCTCATTCTAACTTATTACACTAGTTCAGCAGTGCGGTTGAAAAGAACAGATCAATGATCTCTATGCTTCGAACACACATACTCATGTGTGTATGTCGAGTATATGTGTGTACAATAATACAATCGCAAAAATTGACGCGAGATTTATGCTCAAATATCTATATTAAAAAGTTTATTTGGAAATTGTATCAATGGACATAATTTGATTTTAATCGAGTAATTGCAAGCTATAATTGAGGATTTTGTTATCCATGATATATATATATATATATATATATATATATATATATATATATATGCATATACAAGGTATCCCGTTTTAAGAGATGCACTCTGATAATTCTTCAGCCAAACATATTCAGCAAAAATGTTTCAAACAAAAGTTGTCGGGTTTAGAGGGGGACATTTGAAGGTGACCTTGACTTTGACCTTGGAAGTCATTTTGAAGGTTATTCGAAGGTCAACTTTGCTTTTTAAATAGAAACATCTATTTTTTATTACGGAATTTTATTTTACATGAAGAAACACATAATTTTTGTTTAAAAACATTTTTTATACGACCTCTATTTTCTAAGATATTTACGGAAATATTTACAAAATTATTGTTTTCAATAATTTTTTACTCGAATTCTATCAACTTTACCGAAAAATAGCAAGAGATAAAAATTATTTACTTTCTTCTCATAAAGCTTTGAGAATTTTTTCAGAATATTTTATAAACTTTTTAGTACTTCAAGAAAATGCAAGAAAATGTGGTACTAAGAAGTTAATTAAAAAATTATGGAAAAATTCTCAGAGCTCTGTGAGAAGAAAATTAACAATTTTTATCTCTCGCTATTTTTCGATAAAGTTGATAGAATTCGAGTAAAAAATTATTGAAACCAATAATTTTGTAGATAATTTTAGTAAATATCTTAGAAAATAAAGGTCATATAAAAAATGTTTTCAAACAAAAGTTGTTAGTTTCTTTACGCAGAACAAAATTCCGTGATAAAAAAAATAAATGTTTCTATTTAAAAAGCAAAGTTGACCTTCGAATAACCTTCAAAATAACCTCCAAGGTCAAAGTGAAGGTCACCTTCAGATATCTCCCTCTGAACCCGACAACTTTTGTCTGAAATATTTTGGCTGAATATGCTTGACTGAAGAATTATCAGGGTGCATCTTTTAAAATGGGACATCCTGTATACATACATACATATATATATATATATATATATATATATATATATATATACATATATATATATTTGTTTCTTTTCAAATGACACACATTTTCTCTCTGTCGAATAATCATCACGTTTGTTGGGATTCTGATTGGTCTATTTACGATATACAAATCATACAATGCACAAACTATTACATGATTTTTAATTCAAAGATCAACAGAGAAATTGGAGTAAACGTGTCCTAGGAATCGACCGTGAATCCTTTTCTCTAGCAAGAACTTGTGAAAATTGAACATTTTCTAACTTGGAAATATTTGGAAATATTCACTTTGGAAAAATTCTAGATACACTCTTGTTGTATTTAAACGAGAAGATACTAATGTGGCCGACTGCAGGAGACTAATGTAAAGGAATGAAAAGGATACTAATGTAGCCGAGTATATGAGACAATTCCATTCTCTAAATTTCTGAGAGTGAAATTGCATTCAAAACGAGTGAAAATTCACTCGACGCAAAAATAAAAATACCACTGGAAATTGTAATAAATATTTCACTTAAATTTAGGTTCTGACGCTATTCTGAGTGCAATATGAGTAAATGTTTCAATCAATTAGAGTGAATTTGTGCCATAAGAATTAAATTAGATTATATTCATTCTTCAATTTCGGATAAAAATATCTATTCAATTCAGAGTCGAAAATTTACTCTGCATGAGTGAAAAATCACTCAAATTAAAGTGACTGTTATTCTATTTTTCGAGTAAAATTTTACTTTAAAAATTTAAAGAATAATATTTCGGTAAACTTATATTTCGAAAAATTATATTTAGATATTCAGATTTCAGTATCATAACATTTCAAGAAATTGTCGTGCATTGTTTTCGAGACAATGCACACCCATCAAAATTTGCATGAGATTTACATGAGATTTCGGTAAATTTTCCAAAGAATCCAGAATTTTATTTTGCATGTGTGACATTTGTTTTTAAATATCTCGCTTTCGGTCACGCGTGCCTGTACAGCCGAAAATAATTGTTCCTTCGAGTTGCACTTCGTTATATTTTTCACACTTTCCAAGTGGCACAAGATTACTTTGAAAGAGTGTCATAAGAAAGGAAGAAAGTGTTGCTACGTAAAACACAAGGATCTAACGATCTTCTCGCGAAATCTCTCTTCTTCTCTCTGACCTTCCACACAAAAAGGACAATTATGCGAGCGCATTGCAAAGGACTCGATTAACATATTGCGGTCCACAATGACAGACTGAGGCGTTAATATATCGTATATCTTCGAATGTGATGACATACGCTATGACTTTCAAATCAGAGATGCTATCTATCCAATCTTCCCATAATCGTGTCGAATTAATCGTTTGTATCCTATGTACATTACTTTTACTCAATATTTCATGCAAACACATTGTATTTCTTGCGCGAACGAAGTCCGTCATCACGACGGACGAGCATATACGCACAAGATACCACGCTTTATTACAATGAGTGAAAAACATGAGAAAGGTAATTGCTGATATTTTCTCTCATTCGCGGAAACACATTTCGCTACCATGAGTATGCCAAAAATAAAAAGTAACTTAACGACGGACACATATATTACAACACCTTTCCCACATTTTTCTTTTTTTTTTACGGTAAAGCAATTGTCGCGAATGAACGCGTAATCGCGCGTTAATCTACTCACACAACGCAACGCTTGTAACATCGACGACATTCCTTCCAGTTAAAATTATTAGATAATTGTCTAATATATTACAATCAGGCACCATCCGCAATATTGGGCCGCAAATCTAAAGATATAAGCCTTAAGATATTACTAGATTAATAATAATCAATTGTAATGTTAAGGAACGGTATAGTAATAAGAGGATAATACAATCGTTAATAAATCACCGGTTTTTAACAGAATTTATTGTTTTTGCTCTCTCTCTCTCTCTCTCTCTCTCTCTCTCTCTCTCTCTCTCTCTCTCTCTCTCTATATATATATATATATATATATATATATA